TTAGTGCTACATTTATATGGTTGCCTGGCAATATATTTGTAAACTTAACAAAATATTGCATGCAGTTTAAATATAATTAAACAAGCTACGTGACCTAAGACCAAAAACACATTAATTTTGTTTCTTACTGAGTTATGAAATATTTCAAATAAATTAGGACCTGGGATTTATGTTGTGGACCTTTCAGTTTGGAGTGTCAAAGGTCCTGGACCTTCCAGTACCAAATGTTAATTTGAACCCCTGCATTTATCGCCTCGCCCTCTCTCACAACTAGAAATTTATTTCTGCTGATGCTTATCAATTTGGACAAGAGAACTTTTGGTGAATGAGAATTGGCTCGCTCACCCCCTGCACTCGTATTTTGAAAGACATTTGTCGGGTCGCCCTCTCTCACAATTAGCAATTCATTTCTGTAAATGGTAAACAACAAAAAAACTTTTGGTGAATGAGGATTGGCTCGCTCACCGTGAACTATTGAAACGTATTTATGTAGCTCTCATGACACAATTGTGGCCTCGATCTTAACTTCTGGGGATTTTAACTAGAATAAAGAAAAGAGAAAAATCGGATTTCATAATTAAGGTTGGTATCTTTTAAATCATTACCATTCAGGCTTTCTCCTTTTAAGATGGTCACTTTAATGGAATAAGATTTCGATTTGTTGTTTGTTTCTGTTACACATTCTTTGTATTGATTTTGTTACGATTTGAAGTTTATGGTACTTTATAATTGTTTAGTCGTTGAATTGTCTTCACATTAAAAACATTTAATATTTAAACTTTTCATGCATATGTTGTTTTGCCATTGTTTTGTTGTGTGTTTTATGCGATGTCTCATTGAAGGGCTTAAAATATTAATATTGTTTAAATATGACCGGAAGAAAATAAGTTTGTTGGAAATACATAAAGTCGTTTAAAATAAGTAAAAGAAAAGGAAAAGTGGCCGACAGCTTAAAAGCACAAGAAACATGAAAGATATTGTAATGCATAAATGCAAATTTATATTGGTTTGCGTAATTCGTGTAATATTCACATCATTTGAATCACTCTTTAATTACAAAATACTCATAGAATCAACATTTTAACGTTTATTGATTTACATTTGATCCCAGACTCTGCATTTGGTGAGCTATGCATTAACGGTATAATGTGTATCAAAGAGATTAATATAACATTTTTAGAGCTAGTTTCCTAATGCATGAATAGCTTGTTCGCTTTGTTTGTATATTGTACAATTATATACAATAATTTAACTTACAATCACATGTTGATATAATATATAGGTTTAACTATGCCTATATATATATATATTGTATTAAGATGTCAATCTTTTTTACAAAGCTTGGGTACAAGTTTATAAAAACAAAACAAGCAAGCCGACCAAAGTTTTACTCTACAAGCATTATGAAATTAGCTCTAATTAAAATTGTAAGGAGATGTGGTATGGAAGCCGATGAGACAACACAATGTTATATTAACCAGAGTTTAAATGAAGTTGATGTAAGCAGTTTATACCATATGGCGAGAGGGGAAAAAACCGCCGTTATTGCAAAACCCCATCATGAAAAGAAATAAAAAACACGCCGTTATGGCAAATCCCCAACATGAAAAAAAAGATCTGTAAAGCCAAGCTGAGAAAGCCAACTACCTTATTCATCTATATAATCATTGCCACCATTTCCAGCTTTGTCCATAATTTTTAGGACACAGCAACGTTATTTTCAATAACTCTTTGGAGAAATAATCACCGTGTAATTCCTGTTATTATCAGGACATAATATTCATTTGTATAATCATCCTTTCCATTTTTATGAATACTAAATGGTCGCCTCTTAAGTGTTAAGAAATATTTGACGATAAGCTTCCTATTCTATTCATGAGGAAATTAGAATTAATTTACATCATTTCATCATTTCTTATCCTAAAACAAAATTCGTTTTCCAAGGAGTATTCTGAAATATGTACAACTGATTAACATTCGGAAAGACCTGCGGAACACCTCGTACTTGACCCGCTTGACAATTTGAAATGAGGGGGGGGACAGTTTGAAAAGTGTTTCAAAATAGGATATACATCCATCATATGATGAGGTAAGACATTTCATTTATTATTTGAGATGTTTATTTATAAGAATAATGACATAAGTAAACTTAAAACTGTCGAAAACATAGTCAAATTGTCGTTCAAAGTTCCCACAAAAATTCGTTGGGAAACCGCTACGAGAAAATAGCATATATCGATAAGACTTCGGGTTTCAACATTGATAGTAAACAAAAAATATCCGATAAAAACGTTGAATGTAAATGATATGAAACTCCGAAGTCTTATATTATAGGACTAGAAACAGAGTAGCGAACATCCTTAACACTTAAATTTGATTGCCTAAACAGTGAACTTAAATAATTCACGTTTGCACTCCTGTGTTGATTGATTGATTGATGTGTTAGTGTTGAACGCTACTTTCAGCACTGTTGGATTTTTCGTGGCGGCCAGTTTTTATTGACAGAGGAAACCGGAATGCCCGGAGAGAACCACCGACCTTCGGTAGGAACACTGACAATTCTAGTCAATCAAAATTGGAGTCGAACGCATCTGTCACGTGGGGGACTTGAACTCACAACATCAGTGTTGACAGGTTAGTGATACAAAAGTTGGAGTACTTAGATCACTCGGCCACCGAGTCCTCCTCCAGTGTTGATAAGTGAAGATGTCAGATCATGGTTTAAATGTAACTTTTACAGGGCTATGTCATCTTTAAAACTGAGAGGATGACTTATTCAGAAACACCCAAACCTCGTGATTGCTAAAGTATTTGTACAAAATTTGTCTTAGAAATGCATATTTCAAAATGTTTTGCCTATACAGTTATTTTTCTACATGCTGCATTTATATTCATGATACAAATTAACTTTAATAATTGTACTTTGCAAGTTATCATATGACTGCTGAAGCTTTAAACTGCTTATCCTTTAATGTTGATATTTGTTTGGCCTTCCAAAGTAAAGATACCTGCGTCTTCTTAGTTATTCCCTGTGTGTTTCAGTTTTGCTGTTTAAAGTCTCTCTCTATCTTTTTTTAGTTTTTAAGATAATAAGCAAAATGAAAAAAAGTAGTAAAGTTCGTCATTTTAGGGCCATAACTCCAACAAGATATTGTCTGACAGTTTTGACTTAAAAAAGATAATAGGTGGAGCTCACCATTCTGAACATTTTTGCTCTTGTCAGATTTTTCTCTATGTATACTAGTTTTTAAAATAATAGACAAAACTTACATTTTATCCCTATGTTCAATTTTTAGCCGTGTCGGCCATCTTGGTTGGCAGGCAGGATCATCGGACTCATTTGAAACTAGATACATGAACCCCAATGATGACTCTGGCCAAATTTGGTTTGATTTGGCTCAGTATTTTCAGAGCAGATGATCTTTTTAAAGGTTAACGGACGGTGGACGACGGCGACGACAGACGACGGACGCCAAGTGATCGGAAAAGCTCACTTGACCCTTAGGGCTAGGTGAGCTAAAAAATGCAATATTTGAAGGACAATTTCTAAACATGTTTATATAACTTGATGCCTTAATGGTAAATGTGATGAGCGTTTATATCTTTTTTCCTCGGTGGATAGTAATATTATTTACTATGATCATACATCATATCCTTATTTGTATATTGTTAGGTTTATGTAAATAAAACAACCATTGAAATATGGATGTGAAGTACTCCTTTTATATTCCTGCAGTTGGAATCATACTGCCACACCTAATCTCTCAATTTGTGATAACATTTAGGAAAATATGCATCAATTTGTTATAATTATCTTTATCCATGTTGTAATATTATTTTAGAAAGAAAATATCTTGTTCTTAAAATCCGGAGCGCCACTGTAATCACGAACATACCGTACACATTTTAATTATCCGTAAATAGTAAGGCTATGTAAACTTTTATTCTTTGCTTTTTTTTTATTATTATGCCAATATTTTAAATTCGACTCATAGCGTTTAAAATAAGCATATAACAAACATATATACCTCCAAAAGCTCTGAATGACATGTCCGTATTTTGCTGCCAGTCAGTTATTTTTGCTTCCTTACTGCAGGATAAAATTGTTTCAAAACTAGAAAAATATTGACCAATAAATACATGACTCACCTTTCCAATTATCATAATGACGAAAATCAAACATAAACCAAAGGGTAACGATACGAGAAAGTAAAGGGTAAATCGAAATTCATCAATGGTAGCGCAAATATTCCAAAATTCATAAGATATAATATCCATATTTTATCATGAGATCAAAGGTCATACGTATACAGAGTAACAATTGTACACAAAAAAATAGATCCACTTCCATGATATCGCCTAGGTGTATACGTATTGTTTTGATACCTTATGCATCTAGATTCTAAGCATTATTCGAAAAAAATTGTGACGCGTATCACCATAATACAGAATAAGATGGGGTATTATTGCCAATTAGACACCTACATGTATCCACAAGAATAAACATGACGTGGATTGCAATTGAAGCAACTTAAAATCACTTCATGACCTTAAAGAATGAGCAAAACCCGAATGCTGTATAGTCAGATATAAAAGGCCCCAACATGACAAAATGTAAACCATCTTGTTAAACAGATAACCAATTTGGATTCTAAACAGGACCAACTATCCACATTATGTGACCATGACCAACAGAGTTTGGGCTTTTGGACAATGCCATAAACCTTAAGGAAATTGCTTTTCGTATCAAACAATAAAAATAAACAAATGTCGCTAAGGATGAATCTTACATTGTATAAAAGTTTCCTTCAATATAGCGAAAAGAACAAAACAAGATTACTATATGGAGTTTTGCTAATTATTGAAGTTGCAATTGAAAATTGAAAATGATCAAATCTTTGTCCCTTTGTCTAAATGGACAGTTGTTTCATTGAAAATCATACCCTAATAGATCCTTATTTTGATAAATATGTATCTAATTTGAGAAAAAAAACAACAAAAAAAATACATTTTTTTTTATTGATTTTTTTTTCTAATTTAAAAATCTAACTGAAAAGTATACATGTAGGTGATCCAGCGACAAAGCATTGCACTTTGAGGTTCTTGTATAAAAGATTATTATTATTATTTAAAATGTCATGAACGTGACAAAAGTTTAGTAACTTATGACTCAAGAAAAAAAATTTTGCTTATACATTATATTATTGGAGTCTATATCTTGAATGCAAAGTTAGTGGCATGTGGACAAATATAACACGTTCGATATTAGTTCTCCGTTCAATTATAGAAGGGGGACGACCATTTGATATTAGAGGGAGGGGTTAGGAAGAATTTCCCGGATTTATCATTTGCTTTCATCTGTTGCTATGCATGCTTATTTTTTTTCCAAGCGAAAATTTATTTTCATTTTGTACACATTTGTTCCCTGCATTTTTGTTGCATAATATTCATTTTCATTCTGTCTTATGCAAAGTTTTTTATTTCCATTTCTTACCAGGCCAAGCCATTTAATCCTCCTGGCCCCCTCCCAAGAAAATCAAAAGGTCATCCCCTAGACATAAAATCTAACAACAAAAATTTCAAAGACTGAATGTAGTTTTATTAATTAAAAAATGATGTACTTGTTATTTCTAATTTTAAATTGTTCAATTAATGAAAACAGTTTTACGTAACTTATTGTAAGATGTCCATACCCATTGAAGTGTTGACCTACAATTCTGCGAAAACGCATACCAATAAGGCATCCGTACAACTAAAAAATGTTTGTTATTAAGAAACGTGCGGTTGTTTCGATAATATGAGGAAGGATATACTTGTCTACTTTGATTTATCATGATTTATAAATATATAATCCTTTTTATTTATTTTTTTCCAAATCTAGCACGGAGATCAAAACATTAGTTTCTCAAAATATTTGAAAACGATTGCTTCCCCAGAAGTTCTTTTTATATAGAAATATACATAACGTCTTTCTTTCCTTTTTATTTACTGTCATTAACTTAATTTGTATTCTTCTGTCAATTCTTTGATTTTAAATAATGAATTGCTGTACAATATTTGGTATTACAGTAAAATAAAAAAAGAATTAAAAAAGCAATAAAAGTATACGAATGCAATGCAATTTTTCAAGCTATAATAAAGCGTTCTTGAAATAGTTCTTTCCATATAATAGTAACACAATATTATAGATAAAGTCTTTCTGTTTCTGCTGTTCTCAGCTTAAATAGAATTATCGATCAAATATTTAATTGAACATAATGTATGCAGTGCTACACGGCTACTTTTAAATCTACAATTTATTTCTAATACAATGAAAAAGAAAAGAAAGAAAACGGAATATAAGTACATGAAAACGATGCAATTGTTCAAGCTGTGTTAAATCTTTTGAATAATCCATATAATTGGCAATCTGTGTGTTCATCAAATTTGACATTAACGTTTACAGATCGTTTGTTCTGTAATAATAATCATCCCCAGGAGCCTCGGTGAACATGCTATTCATCTGTTCCTTAAGTTGTTCAAAACCTGAACGTTTCCGAGGATCATAATGCCAACATTTCAGCATTACTGCATAGAATCTAAAAAATAATAATCTTATGAGTACTAATATTAATGTTTGCCTTAACTGTGGTTGAAATAAGACTTTTTCTTTTATAATTCTTATATGATATGCATATTTACAAATACTTGAATTGGATTGGTCCGTTACTTTTTTCGCTTTGTTTTTACACTTCGATAGACCAAAAATATTGCCGAAACTATTTTCGCAACCTTCCTTGTGATCTTTTCATGCGCGAATCAGATGCTTATGATCAAGGGGTTTCAAGCAAATTGAGTTTGAAAAAACAAATAAATAACTGTTATTTCTATTATAATGAATAATAAATATTGCATTTGAGCTTGGAAAATGTATAAATTTATAACTGAATGAGCTTGGCGCATTCGCGTCATGGGAAAGCTTGACGTCATACGAATGAAAACTCTCAAGATGAAGATTATTCCGTTTCTTGTACGCTTCAAATTAAAAAAATTATCTAATTGAAATAAAGGTTTTGAGGTAGGTGCTATTTCGTTCTAGATTCTATTGCATTAATCGAATATTAGGCCTAATTGATTTAAGAAAGTCAAGATGGCAGCTTGCATGTTATATTGTGCATTTGATGGTAAATAGTAGCCAATGTACCAAAAAATGATTATTTTAAAATTGAAAATGTTTGAGTTAAGAATGATAAGGATTAAACAAATTTTTTCTAGAGCTTATTGATTTGTAAACTGGGTAGCTGACTCACAAACTTTAAATAAAAGTCCTTCTTTATTCATCAGTTTGTGAGTTAAGGATGTTCGCTACTCTGTTTCAAAATAACAAGTTTCTTAAAAGACTGGTATACATTTAAGAAAACAGAAAAAATACAGGGTTTGTGTGCTTGTTTTTGAGATATAAGCCATTGAAAATTTGTCCCAAGTTAACTTCTAGAAAAACATAATAATGATATGAGACTGCCCATACAATAAATTGAACGCACAAACGTAAATGTATATATTATTTTCATATAATATTCAGAAAATAAAATAAAATGGAAATACAGAGTTATAATAAACATTTCTTATCTCTCATTCATAAGTACCCTTAGACTATTATTGAAAAGGAAACCTCTTTAAAAGACACAAAAACATATTGTAGTCATTCTGAATTATTATGAAATAAGTCATATTGAGATTTTATAAGCATAACGTATTCTTTTCTCAATTGTTTTCAATAGTTATGACTAGATACAAATATTTATACATACGCATCATCACAAAGTTCTGGCTTCGTCATCTTGTATCCTTTTTTTAATTTCCCTGGGACTTCTCTGCTCTGTAATCCGGGATACGGTGTTTCACCTGATTATCATTGATAATAATAACAATTCTAATTTATTTCAATGTATTATTTATTTCTAATTTAATATATTCACGTGATTCTGTCCCTATATTTATACCCTATGTTTCCAGTTGAAGTATAAATGTTCCACCTTTTAGTGCGATCGGTCAACTTTACAGATTAGATCTTTTGGATTTAATGTTAAATCGTTCTCGTCCTGAATATGCAGTCAATATTTGCCATTGGAATTTAAACAAACAAAGCTAAAGTAAGATATAACATGTGTAACCGATATAAATACATTTATTCAAATATCATACCAAATACTGGCGTGGTATAACAATTTTCGAAAGTGCAAATTACGACCGCAACCATTAAATAATAAATTGAAAATAATACTTTTCAAGACAAGCGATACACTTTTGGTTTTATTGTGTTTTTCTGTTGGTTTTCTTACGAGGTATTGTTGAAAACCGCTATTGTAAACTAGGTTATAAGTAATAAGCTTGGTATGTTTTTATAATTTTTCGTAAAACTTTTGTATAAGTTTTCTGAATTGAATTGTTTCATATTTTTTTTGGATTATAGCTCTTCATCATTTTCATAAGCTAAGGATTAAATGCAAACTTATCGAAGTTAAAATCTTGATCTTAAAATAAATTACTTGACGTTTTGATTAGTTCTTATTATGATACTTTATTCACATATGACGAATGTGTAATATTTTGTATACGAAATCTGTTTCATGCCATATTATGGTGTTGATATTTTTAATTGAAATATTGGTGTATCACTTGCAGATATACTATCATTACAACTTTGAATAGCCGATGACTGTCTATACTAGTAACATTCGTCTTAACTCGGCCGATTCCGTGCCTCCGCGGAGTCACCCGAGGTTAGCCGATTGTACTGGTAACTTTCTTTGACTGCTCAAATAATTATTGATTGTTTACGTGTTTGTATGCGTTGACTGTACAGGACTTATCGTTATTTTATTAGCCTACCGAGTGAGAATATTTCCCACATGACAATTCCGAAAGACCAAACGTCGCTCAACTCATTGGCATATTGTGTTGACTTCATACATTCTGGAGCCACCCACTTGATAGGTATTCGTTCATTCCCCTAAAAATTATTTGAAATTGTAGTAATAAATTTGGACGCTAGCTGCTACGATGCAACACTGAGAAATAAATGTACAAACAAAAAGTAAAAACAGGAATATTACAAGTTATTGTATTGTGCAATAGAATCATATTATACCTACGAAATAGATGAAATTACATCATTTTCTATGACGTCTTTGCTCAATAGGTCTTGATAGTCGTTCAATAATTCATCAGTATTCTTGGATTTCGAGACCTCCGGATGTTTGTGAAAAAGTGAAATTTGCCATTGATATACTGATTTGATTCTGTAATTGGGTTTTGAAATACTTGACATACTCAATACATCCTTATTTACTTAAATACCAAATGCCACAACACGTGTTTCTCGAATGACCTTCAACGGGAACGCTCGAGGACAATAGATTTGAAGGCCAATGAACGAAAAAAAAACTTAATAAATTGAGTGCGTACGCAGCGCTTTTCTGGATTTACCTTCATCAGGTGCGGTTAAATCCATACATTGGAAAAGCTAGGAATGTATAAATACGTAGCAAAGTTAGGAGTTATTTGACCAAAAGGGTTATAAAAAGAATAAGAAAATTCTAGTAAGGTTAACTTTGCCTTAGGAAGTTGGAAACTAAGTTTCTGAATAATTTCAACGGCCAGTTTTTAAAAATATGTTATAAATTATATAAGCCACGAAGGACCGTCTACTTAGTTGATAATACCCGAGGTGATTAACAGTGAACCAGCAGTGGTATCGACTCACTGCAAATAAATGAAAATAACACTTAAAAAAATAGGTAACTTGTGAATAAAACGGTATTGAAGTTAAACGTCAATGAGACAGCAACCATTTAAAACAACATTCCATATATTCTCATACGAATACGTACAGGGTTGTCCTCTCCTTCGTCATAACTAGGGTCTGGACCAAATCCTGTGATCTTTGGTTCATACATGCTATTCAGTAATATATTCCGTGCAGCCAAACGTCTGTGAACAACCTTAGAGTAGAATACCATTTAAAAATGTATAGATTGTTGATTAAAAAGTGCATGATTTTATATTAAAGGTTAAGGACAAGCGGCAAGCTAAAAGATTATTTGTATATGGCTATTTTTCGACTATATTGATATACTTATAGTATATTTGTTATGAACAATTTATTTTACATTGAAACTGTTTTTTTTCCAAGAGAAATCAAACATTATGGGTTATGTTCGATTAGATGGTTGTTAGGGAGCCTATCTACGCATGTATTACTTTTACTAACGGGTACATGTTTGACCAAGAAATCCAGCATAATAATAGTATTCGATTCATTTAGATATCAAGATTAATTATGTTATAGAAAGACATTTTCAGGAAATATGTTGATAGATACAAAAGTTAAAAAAAAAATTCTATAACATTTTACACTTGTCTGAGTTATTCACACTTACTTGCTTTGAGGCTAAAAAATCCATTCCTTGGCATATTCCAAATACCATTCTAAACAGTTTTTCTTCAATGTCAACGGACATGTTTGACTTTATTGCTTCTAGAAATTGCTTCAGAACCCCCTTTGAACAATATTCTAGTATCATCATTGGTCCACCTGGTGCAAGAAACTTATGTAGTTGATTATCGTTAAAAAAAATCAAGAAATACTTCTGTACACGCAAACAAAGACCACTTTTAATCCGAAGTCGGTTCTTTGTATTATATGTATCTATGCATATTGTAATGGCTTTTTACTGATGTTTCAAGGGTTAAAAGGTGCAGCGTTGTGTACTTAAAAGTATTAGTTTAATCCGTTCAGTCTCGATGTATCTTAGTCAAGACTGTATTCAGCGGTTGCCTTTGCTTTGTGTATTGGTTTCGCTGGGGATTTTAGTTAAATGCCGAATCTCTTATATTCCTTAAATTGAAGCAAATTTGCCTAGAATACATCAAATTAGAGCTGGACATATGAAATGTATATGCTTAGCTTGCATTGGCAAAACAGTTAAGAATGACCTCGAAATGTCTTGATGAATGTATCGTTGGTTTGCTGTTCCTGTTACCCCTATTCCCCCCCCCCCCCCCCCCCCCCCCCACACACACACATCTTCTTTTATTTATCTTAATTTTATACGACTCATATCCTAGCTTGTGTTAAGAATCTCATGAACAATAAAGGTTAAATGCGTAAGAAGATATGTCTAGATTACGCACGTAAAAAAACATTAAAACTGATTACAAGGTGGGGCCATACTTGCCAAAAATGTTTGTCAAGGCAACAAAGATCTGTGATAGCTCAAATGCGAAGCGGAATATTACATTTAGAGACTGAAAAGGGTAGATTTCGGAATGTGCAACTGTATCAACGCCTATGTAAAATGTACATACATGTGTCAATCCATAGAGGATGAATCCCATTTTATGTTGTACTGTAAACGCTTTGAACATTTGAGAACACCACCATTCAATTACACCCGAGATTTAACATAGATTCAAATGCACTACCAGTGAACATCAGATTGTAATTACAGCAAGCTTGTTTCTGACTTTAGTATGATCCGTTCTGCTGTCAGTCCGCCTGTGGTCAATTGATAACGTGGCTTACTATATTTTCGTTGAAATTTAGACTTTATTTATTTATTTTTCTTTTTCTCAAAAATGAAAACATGCTGCGTATCATAAATTATTATGACAGTACATCGTAAGTCTATTTGGCTGGCTGGAAATCATGTTTGTATGCTTGTATTTGAACATACTTGCTTGTTATAATCCAGGTTGCACTTTAATATTAAAATATTCGTTCATTCATAAATATGACTTTCCCTGGTTTTCAAGTATTTGAATATAAGCGTTCCTGATGAAAGTTAATCTAGAGAAGCGCTTCGGACGAACGAAATTTATAAAGTGTTCTTTTCATATACAGCTAATACACATTATAACTTCTTTCTTTTAGTTCTTCAAAAGTTAACTTAATTTATCTAGTATGGCGATTATAGTGGAATTTGATGCGACTGTCATACAAGTGAGAGGTTTAGCTAGCTATAAAACCAGGTTCAATCCACCATTTTCTACATAAGAAAATGCCTGTACCAAGTCAGGAATATGACAGTTGTTATCCATTCGTTTGATGTGTTTTTTTTTTTTTTGATTTTGCCATTTGATTGGGGACTTTCCTTTTTGAATTTTCCTCGGAGTTCAGTATTTGTGATTTTACTTTTTATACACTTACGAACTTCATCTTCAACACTGCCAATAAACTCCAATACATTTTTTTGACGACCAACTTTCTTAGTATAGAAATTTATTTTCGCTTTCATTTTCATAATGGCTTCTGCTTTCTGGTCATCTGAATGAAAAGAGAAAAAATAACTTCAATCAGCCTGTTTCGTTCAAATGACAGACTGAAAAGCTGAAAAAAAATGCGTTCCCTGTTTGAACAAGGAAAGATAAAGATTAATTTGAAAGAAGTACATACAATGAACCGTACCAACATTTATGATTAATAATCGCCACCAAAAATTGATAATTCATAGACAAACATAACTCGGAATCATTACTTCTCGACATTTTTCATATATCAACTATAATCTCTAAATATGTATGATACAATTAACAGTTCTGACCGATTTATGAAAATTATATCCCTAATATAGATTACAGACAAAATGTATCATTTAGATTTGGCAAGTACAATAATACTGACCACTGGACAGATAGTACATTACGGATTTCATAGTCCACATGTGTGTAGTATACTGTAACATATGTAAAATTGAGAATGGAAATGGGGAATGTGTCAAAGAGACAACAACCCGACCATAACGTTAAAACAACTTGTTTTATGAAGAAATTTATTCAAAACATCATACCTTTTAATGTTTTTGCAACAACTTCATGGCACTCGCTTTTATTGTAATACTTCGCCAGGAAAATCACAGCAAATCTTCCGCGAGCCAATTCAGATTCCAAAGATATATCTTTGCGCGATATTTTCATATTGTTTTCCTTCATCTCCATTCCACCGTAGAAGTAAATATCGTCGTCCTCCTTCGAAACGGTGGCCCGATTCTGGAAACGTGATATATTCAAATACAAAGGAAAATGATACCATAGCGGCTACCAAACGCATAAGTATAACGTAGAGAGACAAAACCCACCTAAACCGCCAATGAACACAGGTGCTCGACAAGAGAAAGCAGTCTTGTCTCCACTTGTAACATCCCCGATAGGCATAGATTAAACAAATTGGAATTTTTCAGATACACAATATACCACTTGCTTTGTAATTTATCTATATTCAGAGCTTGTGATTTGTTTTTATTCATCTTAAGGCGTTCTACATGTATGTAGCAACACATATATAGTAAATACATAGAAAAATGTACCTAGGTACATTTAAAAGTAGTCATTGTACATGTATACAGGCTATTCGTTTAGAAAAACTCATCATCAGATTTTTACCTGCACTAAGCACCACGACGGGTGTTACTGTTGTAACCGGACAGGTTTACATTTCTGTAGCACCTCAGTTTACCGCCGTATTTTTATTGTGTTGTGTTGTGTAAAGTGTTGTTTGTCTGTTTGTCCTTTACTTTTGGCCATTGGTTTGATTGTCTTGCTTTAACTTAGTGATTTCACCCTTTGCATCCTCCTCCTTTCATAAAACAATCCACATGGAAGCATTGGCGATTGACTGCCATAGTATGATGAAACTAGGTTTTTACTTTATATCTTGTACTCTGATGATTTTATTAAAATGAAATAGTTTGTTTAATGCATTTTGAAATGAAGGGACAAACTATATTTTTTTCATTAATGGACAATCAAACTTTTCTTCTGAAGATGTTCTAAAAAGAATTTTCCGATTTTTCAGTTGAGGATATTTTCCCTAAATATTTATTGCATACATGCTTACATTTAATGAATGCGTTGTAGGTCGCACTCGAATAGTATTTCTGACTGTACGTATACCGGCTGTAACACGTTGTTTGGCTGGCTGTAATCGTCCAGTCCTTCCAAGGAATACCAAGACAATTATAACAACTATTAGAAGTACAATAAAACCTGTCGAAGTAGACATTTGCTATGAATTAAGTTAAGGTAAAAAATCAAAGCTAAAACTCAGTAAAACGTAAAATTGACCATCCAAGATTGTCATAATAATATGAGAAAATGCGTGCTAAAACAAACCCTTAACAAGTCTCAGTCCATATATATTCAAACTTATGAGACCAACGACAAATATATTCAACTTCGAGTAGGTATATCTTCTGTCACTTGACTCTTTAAGAATACCACTAGTACGTCAACACAATGATGCCTATATATTTTAGTTGGGAAGAACAAATAAGTGAGTAGACATATTTTACACAAAAGAGTTCGTACGTGTAGCTGTAACTTTCAAACTACATAGATATAAGAAGATGTGGTATGAGTGCCAATGAGACAACTCTCCATCCAAGTCAAAATTTATAAAAGTAAACCATTATAGGTCAAAGTACGGTCTTCAACACGGAGCCTTTGCTCAGACCAAACAGCAAGCTATAAAGGGCCCCAAAAATTACTAGTGTAAAACCATTCAAACGGGAAAACCAACGGTATAATCTATATAAAAAACGAGAAACGAGAAACACTTATGAACCACATCAACAAACAACAACTACTGAACATCAGATTCCTGATTCCATTTACATAGATATAAGGAGATGTGGTATGAGTGCCAATGAGACAACTCTCCATCCAAGTCAAAATTATAAAAGTAAACCATTATAGGTCACAGTACGGTCTTCAACACGGAGCCTTGGCTCACACCGCACAGTAAGCTAGAAAGGGCTCCAAAAAATTACTAGTGTAAAACCATTCAAACGGGAAAACCAATTGTCTAATCTATATAAAAAACGAGAATCGAGAAACACTTATGAACCACATCAACAAACGACAACTACTGAACATCAGATTCCTGACTTAGGACAGGTGCAAACAAATGCAGCGGGTTTAAACGTTTTAATGGTACCAAACCTTCACCCTTTTTCTGAAACAATAGTGTAACATCACAACATAGAAAGACACACTATAAAATATCAACTGAAATAGCTTAACTCAATCAAAGGACATATTAACACCATTGAACATACACTGAACAAATAAATTTGACCTAAGACACAATGTAAATACAAAATAAATAAACCAAGGGAAGAATAATAAAAGTAACATGTTATATCAGTAAGAAATGTTAAACAATTAAAGAAAAACAATATGCTCGAACAAAAATACCATCCATTTGCAATAACTTTAAACACAGGTAAATGAAAATAATTTTGTTGTTAGGTATACCTGTACAGTACCAATAGAGAAAGGAAATATTTTTACAAAATAAATAATTTTGAATACAAAATAAATAAACTAAGGGAAGAATAATACAAGTAACATGTTATATCGGTAAGAAATGTTAAACAATTTGAGAAAAACAATATGCTCGAACAAAAATACCATCCATTTGCAATAACTTTAAACACAGGTAAATGAAAATAAAACATGTATGTAAACTAGTTGGATAATTGTTTAATGAAATTAAACATTTTTACTTTCGGTATTTATTATATTAGAATTTATAATAGCAAAGGAGCCATTGCTATCAGTACCAGGACGATTCAAATGTTAGTTTTACAGTTCATAACTAAATTTGATTATTCCAAGTTAAGTTTACCAATCTTTTAGCCAAAACTATCCTTAAACAGTTTCGACTTTTCTCTTCAAGCCGTTTTGGTTCTTCTGCTTTTTGTGCTCTTCAAAATTTTATATTTTAAACGTTACAATATTTTGTTCTCGATAGCACCAGATGATGCTTGTTTTTACTGGAACGCTTTTTTGTACGCACATAAATCATAGTAACCTTTTTTTCTGGAGTATTGTATATATTTGAAAAAAATATATTAAATCAAGGTGCTATGAAAATGATCTTCAACGCAATATATCGTACGCGTATTCCGCTGCAAAGTAATGATGTTAGCTAAATAACATATGAAACTTCTGGAATATTAATGTATTTGAAACGATTTTGCGAAAAGAGAGTGTCTTTAAATGTATTATGAAAACAAACCTCCTACTATTCCTGCAATTCCAGATGGCGGTAAACCGATCTCTGCAAATTATAAAGAAGTAATCTTAAATTGTATATATAACATCAAATTTTAATTTCAATCGATTTTGACTTTTTGTATCTATATTTATTCTATTCCCGGTAAATTATTTATATATTGTCCAGGTACAAAATGTATGCTTCCGCAATTCATACTAAATGTTCTCCGATCAAAGCTTTTACACCCTAATAAAATATGAAAAGGAAGTATTCGATTCTTAATAGTATTTTTCTTGTGAAAGTATGATAATCCATGAATAATTCGAAACATATTTCAAGAATAAATTGTATAATACTACTGTATGAATTGAATGAATATTTGATTAAAACAAAATGGGCAAATAATGGATTTCATACGGAAATTTAAAATTGAAAGCAAATCTATCAATTCGTTAATGTAAATATGATAGAAGAAGGTATTTGTAAATAAAAATTTATATCAAAATGCATAAAGAAAGAAATGGAAAAATAATTATGATCATTTTATACATTTTATACCAGTTATTAGTGTTAAAGTCATATGAGACTTAAAATTGAAAAAAAGCTTGATATGTTTAATATACTTGAAAGGCTAAGTTTCCCTATAAAACAAGTGTACATGGACTTTTTTGTAAAAGGAAATCTTTATATAATCAAAATCGTCAGAAATGTACTAGTATTGAATAAATTGTCTTTCCGTACTCTAATTCTCCTATTTCGTATACAATGACCTTAACCACGAGACCTCTCGTTAGAACTTCGACAGACGCACTGCGCAAATGCGGGCGAAACCAGAGATTAAAAATATGTAAACAAACGTGCACTGGAAGGTTAATAGTGTTAAGATATTCTGAAAGATCGATTTAATACAACAAATCATTTAACAACTGTTCTGGCAAAGTATAATTGAAAATTGGAAAAGCAAGAAAATATAAAAAAAATAACATCGCTCTATCAACTCACTTATTTTTCACGTGCTTCATGATTTTGTTGTGATTGTTTATGAAGGTCACAATGCGGTAAACGTCGGCAACAAATTCGAAAATGAATTAGCAGCTAAAGTTTGCTATTAACAACCACCAAATGGAATATTTTTTGTCGATTATTATGTTGGCTGAACAAGTCATTTGTTTATCATTTGAAATTTCTTTTTAATACAGATTAAGTATACAAATGTTTTTTTTTCACTCGAAGTTATCCGTCATAGTTTGCAAAGATAGTCACTGTAAGTATGGATTGTGCCAGCGCTTAACATGTCATAATCAAATGAAATATATAATGATAAATAATAATGAATAATTGGAGAGTAGACCTTAGTTTATCTTTTGTTTGGCATGGGCTTGGCCCTTGAGCTCTTGTCAATATCGTCTCTCTTCAAGACTCGCTTTGCGAATAAATTCACATTATTTGAGGTTTCATGCTGTCCTCTTCGAGTTATGTTTCTGTTTAATGTATACTTAAGTGACTAGTAACGTTCTCCTTAATTGTTCTTCAAAGAACAGGCTTAAGTTATTTGAAGTCACATTACTACATCTATACTCTGTCGTCTAGTGCAACTGCCACGATAGATGCTTGAATGATGTGATTTTAATGTTTGCGATATTTATTTTATTAGTTCGAATACATATCTAATATATCATGTTGCCGGTAACACCAAATATTTTCGTTTTTATTTTGTTTTCTTTTATGTGTGAGGATTACTTTTTACACTACAAGTACATAATACATGTTTGAATATGCAATTTATATGTTTTTGATCTTTTTTGGATGAGATGTGGATTAGCTTGTCTTTTTTGGAATAACTTCATCGGTCGTTCTGAATGTACCAGGGGTGTTAAATTGTAACATGGAGATATACGTATCACTTTCAGGCACGTAATACCTGAACTGAGTAGAGGTCGCCGCTTGTTTATTTCTTTGTTTAAATAAACACGACACATAAATTAAAATCACCTTTTTTTCGTGTTGTAAATGCAAACTTAGCAGGATTTGTACTGGTAACAACATTCGTGTCGTTTCCATACTTTGTGTAAATAAGAAACCAATACGAGGTTAAAGAGGATAATCCTGAAAGATCAAAGGTTGTAGCATCTTTGTCGACTGGGAACTTCTTTGTCGTATTGTCAGGTGTGTATAAGATGATGACTATTCCAGCTCGTTCATAACAAGTTTTTGCCTGGATCCACGTAATGCTGACACTAGAGGAAGTTCTTGATACTACAGTAATATTTGATGGGCTGTAGTCTACAAAACAAAAAGAATTAATTTGCCTCTACGCTCAATTCTTTTGAAAATAACTTAAGTTTGTTCTTTATAATATGCAGTTGATTACCGTTTGTGGATATCCAAATCAATCTGCCTTAATCTGATCACTATTTCTTGCAAATTCATTATGAATTGAAACTTTGTTCAATCAGAACTGTTTACTTTGATGGTTTGATTGCGCAGGTTTTGAATTGCACGATTTGTAGGGTTAAACACTTTCACGGGGGGTTTGTTTTCTTTTAAGTCCGTTTTCATTTGATCGTCTACATATTTGTTGAGTTTGGTTGATTGATATTTCAACAAACAGTCGGTATTCCTATGGGTACTTATTGTACAGTCCAATTGACCAACGTTTAGTTGCATGCATATGAAGCAGAATTCACTATTCCAAGATAATAGATGGCTGTTGTCTCGCTGTAACCTTCCGTTCAGTCACACACATGTACAATACAAATAACGTGTTTTATCGAATATAATTATTAATATGATCAACTTACATTGTTGTATACCTTGCAAGTGTTTAACCGTTCCAATCTAAAACAAAAATAATTAAATAAGAAACATTTAACATTAGATTTTGCAGTACATGTATTAATAAAAACAATAAGAAAACGCCTGCTAGGAAACGACCGCTATCGTCAAGTTTTTTCAGTATCAAAAGAAGTGGAATATAACTAGGGGCGTCAGTATAGGCAGCGACGACAAAAAGTTTGCGAAGTTAACAGGCTAAGAAATTGACGTTAAAATTATTTTATCTTGTCATACTACTATTGATTTTGAAAGTTTCTTAATGTTAAATATCTCCTCTCAACAACTTTAAAATGTCGGAAACAAGTTGTATTTGCTGCTTCATAATCATATGAGCACTGGAATGTTCTCTTCAATTTCTTTATTCAAAATCTATTTACCAACGTTAACTACAATCATTCGACGTTTTCTGATATTTGAACAAATTATATCATTAAAAAGATGGAATACAAAGTCCCTGTATACTGTGTAAAAGTTCCAATGACAGCAAAATAGTTTGCAAAATGGAATAAGTTTTCGTTTCACAGATTGTGTGCGTTGATATTTAATTTCCAGAGCACATGGCAATCAAGTTGAAAGCTTATATTTGTATTAACGAAATCACTATACTTACAATTTCGTATTTTTGAGACGATAACATTGCAGAGTTGTACACTGTTACTTCCAACAAAAGAACAAAGTTGGCTACTTGGTTTATTGGAACCTTTAACCAGCAGTTGTTAATATCTAAAACAGTGTCTTTCAGGAAGCATTCACCCATTTTAACGCAGTAACAATCACTTGGTATGAGGTTGCATGTTTCTTTTGACTGAAGATTGAAGAATGAACAGATTTATTATCCAATTTTTAATAAAAAAAGAGAAAAGAATATACAATTCAGAGTATCAGAAAATAGACAATAAGTGTCTGACAGATCTAGAAAACGCTCATACTAAACCCCTGAGTGATAACCTGCTGACTAAATAGATAGTCTTTCGGTTCTGCACTACTTGAAGAAGGTTTTGATAGATCCGATAAGTACCGTCTAGCTAAAAGATGTTACTGTTAAGCTGTTGACCAAAATATGAAGTAATTTTGCCCAGTAGTACCTCAAATGGGAATATGTGGACGACGAATGGAAGACGGGTGGCCCGAAGTAAGAGCAAGATGAATACAATACCAAAAAAGCCAAACTATTTTGGTACAGGAGAAGTGACAATGAGTTTTTTTTTAATCAAATAGCTTTAACATTATAATGAAACTGGAGCATGCAAACCGAAAGCACATTTACATTAGATAAATAGATTCTCACATTGGTACCAGTGGATTATCGGATTTATCCAATCGAGATAGTTACATGTAAATTATCGATATTTAAAGTCCGAGCCTCGGCGAGGACTTTAAAATTGATAATTTAACTATCGTAATTGAATAAATCCGATAATCCATGAGTAACTATGGAAGACTCAGTTTCTCTAATGATTATCAAATAAATTTTGATTTTTAATAAATGAAAATCCCCTTCGAGTGCCTTACACATTCCACAAATTTGTCAATTTCATTAACACCTCTTAGCACATTTTGATTCATCCAGTGAGCTGATAAAGGTTGTGACCCTTTAAATCACCCAATCATCCTCTGAGATCATCGGCAACCACACGTTGATTGATTTGTTTTTATATAATGGGTTCGGAAAGGGTTAAATTGCCAAAGAATTAGAAAAATGAAGATATTAACGCTTTGTCAAAATTTCCTAAATATATATATTTCGCAATATTCTTGCAAATACCATGCAACAATGGGATAATAACAGATGATTTGATTTAGAATCAAATTGTAATTCTAAGTAGATGAAAGGAAAGTACCTGTGTTTCAATAAGGAAATCTTTTTTTGCCTTTTCGTTCAGAGTTCCATTTACAACAAATCTGAATGATACTTTTCTAACTCCACTGTGGTCATCTCTTGCTGAAACACGCACTCTGTAAAGAGGATACATTAAACAAACATTTAATAATGCATGTACAACTTATTATTTCCTAAGAACGGTTCATCAAAAACCTATGTTCAGGAGTAGAATTCACAAATGTCTCATAATGCCCGACATCTCTATTTATATTCGAAAATTCCCTATTTTGACATTTATTTTAGTTATGTTTGCTATATTGACTTAAATGTCTGCCGAAAACGATAATATCAAAACTTTACTATTACACAGATAAAATAATGACGAATGGCTGTTTAACGTTCAGACTTTAACGTGCTAGTTCACAAAGTAAATATCCGTAGGAAGACATGTCATCCTACATGGACACATTATTCTGACTCCGAGCCGACCAGTCTTTGCTGCAGCACATACCAATTTCAAAATCTCAGAGTCAGCCGGGGTTCAAACCCACAACCTCGTGCACCCAAACGCGCTACCACAAAACCACCGATGATTTACACCGATTAGAATAGCTTTTTATAATATTATCCCCAGAGCTAACCTTAAGGAATATGATAAATTGGTTTAAAAAAACATAGATATTATGACAACAACTTAGTTAAACGTGAAAACAAAGGATATAAAAGGTGATACTTGATAATAAGATAGAATGAATGTGCGTGTTTTAAATGTTAAAATATTATATATTCATTTCTTAGAATAAAGTTTCATACCTGCTTGAGAATGGGTATTCTCCATCGTCAATGTTATACTTAATTTGTACCGAATGAACAATAGGTTTACTTCTGTCGAAATGTACAGCAGTAGCATCAACTTTACTATTACCCATTACATCATGTGCACGAATCCAAAATTGATAAGAATCTCCATCACGAATGTCAAAAAGCGGGAAACTTTTTTTGTCATTTAAAGGTACAACATCTTCCCAACCCATTTTTGGAGCTACAGACGTAGGAATACCAGGTATACCAACAGTCTCAAAACGAATGATGGATTTTATATTTGGTATTACAGCTTTATTTCTTACACCAGTTTTATCATCAAAACTCGGAATTATTTTCTTGTAGTCATGACGCCTTCCTGCTTTTCCATCATCAAGGCGTGGGGCGTATTCAAGTACTTTTTCAAGGAAATATCCCTTTTCATGAACTTCATTCACGAAATGACCAGACCATGTAACATCAATTTTCGAAAACTGACTTGTTTGCCATGTAAAATTTGACAGTTCGGACGCAGTGGTAACAATAATCACATTTGCAGAGCTAGTTGATATATTAGACGTTCTGTCATATATTGCTACTTGTCTTGCATATTTAGAATTGTTCGCTTTATCATTTACTTCTAGTATGGTTGAGTACACACCAGGGGCATTGGGTTCATAGGTCGGAAAGGAAATATTGTCGCTGCCATTCACTTCTTGTATAAACAAAGGTACTGGATTAAAGGTCCTATTGATGAGAGGTTCCCTTAATCCTTTGTGGTCGTAACTATACTCCATTTTCCAAACTTCAAATACATATCTCAATATTCCTGATAACTCGTCTTTCCATCCAGACCAATGGGGATTAAGTGCACCCTAAAAATAAAAAAAAGTTTTAGTTGATGTTAAACCAATAAGAAATAACTTTACATAAGAAAATAAGTGAAGCAAGCATTATTTAACTATCTTTTATAGTTTGTTCTCATGTTGTGCTGTAACATCACTGTCCAAGGCTAGGGGATAGTTGAGCGCTCGCTAATTTGTTTTGTCCGGCCACATTCCGTATGTGCCTGTCCCAGCCTAGGTGGTCGAGTGGTCTAGCGCGTCGGGCATAGTGCAAGGCGATTTGGTGCCACGATATCTCAGTAGCATGAGTTCGAATCCCGGCCAGGGAAGAACAAAAAATGTACAGATCTAACATTGTTGGGCTGTTGTTTAGACGAATTATATATTCAGAATGTATTTTCAGCCTTGTATCACCATCACTGCTGGTGATCCGATGGATACAATCTGTTGTAGAGTCGTCACTGGTTCAGACGTACTTATAATATAATTATTTCTGTGACTGCATCTTACATAAATTTGTAGGATCCTTTACAATAGATAATTCAGCTGATCTGTAACAACAAATGGAAGTTTTTAACGACCTTGACTGGCTATACAGCCCTTGCACGGTCGGGTTCTGTAACAATTCCATCTTCATGTCTTATATATCATGTACTGTGTTACGACGCTAGATAAAAACTGACGAGGAAAGGTAACACCGGCCACCGAAAGCTTAATTTTATAGAGCCTAGGTGGTCGAGGGGTATAGCGCGTCGGGCATAGTGCAAGGCGATTTGGTGCCACGATATCTCAGTAGCATGATTTCAAATCCCGGCCAGGGAAGAACAAAAAATTTGCTAACATTGTTGGGCTGTTGTTTAGACGAATTATATATACACTGCTGGTGAACCGATGGATAAAATCTGTTGTAGAGCCGTCACTGGTTCAGACGTACTTATAATTTAGTTATTTCTGTGACTGCATCTTACATTAATTTGTAGGATCCTTTACAATAGATAATTCAGCTGATCTGTAACAATTTCATCTTCATGCCTTATATATCATGTACTGTGTTACGACGCTAGATAAAAACTGACGAGGAAAGGTAACACCCGGCCACCGAAAGCTTTATTTTTATAGAGCCGAAGTGGTCAAGTGGTCTAGCGCGTCGGGCATAGTGCAAGGCGATTTGGTGTCAAGATATCTCAGAAAAATGAGTTTGAATCCCGGCCAGGGAAGAACAAAAAATTTGCTTCCGCAAATTTACAGATCTAACATTGTTGGGCTGTTGTTTAGACGAATTATATATATAAATATACATAAACAAGTCTAAATTGAAAACAACGTTCAAACCTATGATTGCGTTGGATAAAAACCGCAATTTTTATACGTGTGCATGCAAAACAAATTCCTTAGTAGAGGGGGCTAAATACAGCACAAACAGCATTCTGCAAAAGACCAAAAAAGTGAAAAAGTATATTTTAACAAAACGCATTTGACTAGCAGGTCGAACAACCGATGGTCTTAAACCCTGCTGACTGCCATTGGCGATTGCCAAATAAACGGATCACAAGATGTAACAAAATGGATCTCATAATTTATGTATTTCCAAACAGAACTTGCGGAAAAGATTGTATACCGCAAACATGAGGTGCATAAATTTGTACACCATATCCGGATTTCGACAATTAATGTCTCTTCAGTGATGTTAGGAATCGAAACGGTATTTGGAAGGCCAGATAATTTACCTCAATTTAGGATAAACTCTTGGATTTTGATGAGTCGAAATAGGATGATATATATACATAAAAAGCAAATTTAGGTGAAATCGACAACAATTTTGAGGCACCATGTTATCGCTTACATTTGGTTTAATTCATCTCTCGTCAGTGGCACTCTCTTAACAGAAAATATTTCTATTTTTTTTATATTTTAAGCAATTGGAGGGAATAATCCCAAAGCTGACACAAGATTTCTTTTAAAACTAAGGAATTATATTTTCACCTGTGAATCACCATTATCACAGAACTAGGCAAATTTTACATATTGTCTGCTGAAAATTCCTCTAATATCTAAGGTATGCATGCACACTAAAAACCTTGAAATCTCTTTTTTTCCTTTATTTAATTTTAATTTTCCTTTTTTTTTGCAACACATTTCACTCAACAACATGAAGGTTGCTGTTAATTTGATAATTAGAAACGTCTTTGATCTAATTTAGATTCAAATTTATAATAGAATTTGAACTTCCAACAATATGATGATTTATAAAAATCTTCCCTTACATCAATATCAAAGTATCATTGTCAGTTCAATAGTATTCACTACATAACATACTGTATAATTATATCTATTGTATATATTCAAATTTAAATATTGTAAAAACTATTTACATTTGTAACATCATTACTTTTAAAAAAAAATGGAACTTCTCCCAGAATGTATAAATTTATATAGATAAATATAGTATATCTGTTTACCTTTGTAACATCGTGACCTAACATGAATGGAACTTCTCCCGAAGTGCAGCTAGAATCTTCAATGCAGTGAATTGGGTCGTCGTAATCAAAATGTAGTTCCATCGAGTTTTCTGTCTTCTTGACATTATAGTTATCTTGACCATAATTTCTCCAACCATTTTTAAGTTGTCTGTATCCACCAGTACTTACAGAAAAATGTATTTTGTACCTAAATATATATATAATGATATACAGGTTTTTCAACAAGTCTTTTCACGTATGAAGTGATTTAAAAATTTGTACATTTTACATTATCATTAAATTCAAAATATTTAAACCAGATAAATTATTAAAGGAGCATTAGCTGTCAAATTCATGTTCACCGATTTGCCTCAAATTTTCATATTTGATTTAAAACATACTAAAACTTATATCCAAATTACAGAAAGTCTAAAATAAACAATAAACAATGCATGGACTCGATAATGTATATCAGTATTTCGTGTGTATATTAGTCTAGACGTCCTATAATTAACCATTGATATGACCTCCGAAGACTGCCAATACTAATATAACCCGATATAAGCATCAACATAAAATATAAATAGATAGCGAGCACGTGCAATTGGATTTTTCTAGGTCTCTTTAAGTTCATATTATAGTTTTAAAAAATATGTTAATCGTTCTACCTGTATAAGAACGATTTTTTGTGGATCGAATCAAGTCAAACAAATGGTTCTCCCTACTTGTTTCATTTTCAACGTTGACATTATTTTCATTGCAATAGCTGAACACGCATAGCATATATCTAGCCAAGAGGTTAAATTGAAGGTCACATGGATACGGATTCAATGATGTTAAATTATTGACTTGCAAATCAATAAAAGATCAGCGATGTTTTTTGGGTCTATTTTGGGCCAAACTAACTGCTTATATCGAAATATCATTTGAAAATTCCGCTTATATTAATACTTGAAACCAAAAGAATCATATTTTAAATGTTTGTCTAAATTGTAGCTAATGGCCCTTTAAAGGTTATACCATTATTTTCATTTTCAGTATGATATTCGTCACAATTGATAATTTAGGAAATAGTTAATACATATAGTACATGTGGCCTGCTACTATAATATCAAGCCACTATACAGAATACATGAACTATTTTTTTAAATTATGATATGTGACCAGTCATACATAAAATGAAAATACTGGTATATTATTAACCTTATGTAAAACTCTTGAAAAATATCTAGCTTCAGGCTTAAAGTATTTAAACATATGGAACGCCACAGCTGTCTTATGTGGAACTCTGATATTACTTTAAGTTGTTTTATTATTACTTGATGATATTTTGTCTTTACTTAATATGGTTTTGACATTACGTTATGATGTTTTGATATAACTCAATATGGAATAATCATTACTTAATGACATTTCGATATTACACGATATGGTTTCGTATTGACTTGATATAGTTTTGTCATTACTCAATATAGTTTTGTCATTACTCGATGTGGTTTCACCATTATTTAATGTGGTTGTGTCATTAGTCAATGTGGTTTTAACATTACTTGATGTGAATGTGACTTAACGTTATGTAGTTGTTTCATTACATGATGTGGTTTTGTTATTTTGTAATGATGATTTGCCTATTCTTTATATGGTCTTAACATTACGTAATGATGTTTCAAAATTTGACGATTTTACACTACATGATGTGTTTGTTTCATTATTTGATGTGGTCCTGTCATTATTTGATGTGGTTATCCCATTACTTGATGAGGTAAAATCACGTGACCAATTCGGAAAAACCTGTTCTATTTTTAGATAGATTTTCATGTTGTATGTGCCTTGGATGAGTGTGGCCATCCATCGAATTAGAGTTCAAATTAAAGTTCGGGTTACTGTTTGAGTTCAACTTTGAGTTAGTCTTCGATTTCGAATTCAAGTCATTATCATAATTAAAGTTTTAGTTAGCATTGAGTTTCGAGTTGGACTTCGAGTTTGAGTCACATTTAAAGGTAGAGTTCTAGTTACAACATTAAATTTGAGTCATTTTTTGAGGTAGAGTTTGAGTAAGATTCGAATTTAAGTCTCATTTAGATTAATTAAGATTTTGAGTTGAAATTCGAGCTATCTTATATGAGTTTGTAATTAAATTTTTTATCGCGGAACAAGGACTTTTGCTCGGGTTTCCGAAAAGAGGGCTCCGGGGGTATGCGTACAAAAGATAAACAATGTTACAGTATACAAAACGCAACATAGAAGTTGAAATAAAGTTAGATGTGGTGTGATTGACAATGAGACAACTATCCACCAGAGTTTAAATGCAGTGGATGTAAGAAATCATATATAGGCAACCGTACAGCCTTCAACACACCGTATAGTCAGCTACAAAAGGCCACCATGCACCATGTAAAAAAATTCAAACGAAAAAACAAACGGTCTTATTTAATTATAAATAAACAATCTACAAAAAAAAGACACATTTATACAACGACAACAATTGAACTTCATGCTCCTGACTTGGGGCAGGTACATAAAGAAAGTGCACGTGGCGGAGTTTAACATGTATGTGAGCGCTAAATCCTA